TGATACCACATGTTAGTCCAAGGCTTAAACGGGATTTTTATCCCTTCCCCTTCCAGTATCTTGGGGACTTAGCCTTGCTTTCAAAACCAAAAGGAAGTAAAGGAGTGCTTTTGTGGAGGGTCCCCCCCACAGCCCTAGGGAAGTTTAAAAAACCCAAAGTGAGAAAGTCTTCCAAACTGGCTGGATTTTACCCATGCAGTTACCCAACTGCAGGTTTACCCACACATTTGAGTGACTTTGTGTCATTATTTCCTGATGTGTGGACCACCACCAGCTACCTACTTTGTATAAATAGCTCACACTAGACTACACTAAATTCTAGGCCTTTAACCTTTCAAGACATCTACCTCTCCGGGCTGGCTATTCTGACCGGCCTTCTTGCCTCCACACCCATTCTTAGGAGAGCGCTGGAGTCTGCCCAGCTGAAGTCTCCAGTGAGGAGGGTGCCTTCAGCTTTAGAGTGAAAAGGCAACCTGGCTGTGGCTTGTGTCACCTCAGGGATCCCCAGAGTTGATACCCACCTTCCCACTTCTGAACATTGGGATACTAGACAGCACACTTTTTAGGTAATAAGCTTCGTGGGAATTTTTCTTCCCTTCCTTTGATTTCCTCCAGTGACTGGAGTTCCTGAGCAGGACTCCTGAAATCCCCAGTAACCACGGCACGGTCGTGAGGTTGGTGCATTTGCTTGCTGGCATCCTCTCTGGTCCCTCACTTTCTGAGATTTCAGCTTCACCCTGGCCACACCTCCTACCACCAACTTAGGGGCTCACCTGGGGTCTCATTTCCAGATGTTAACTTATCACTGCAGTGCTGTCTGGGGATAGCGTGGCCTGAATGAGCACGTGTCATTCTCTCTGTGATGGCAATATCACCGACGCACAATCCAGACTTGCTAACCTCCCGCCCCCACACGAGGTGATCCTGTTCTTGTGGACAACAGTTCACGGTCACTAGGACCTTAATACCAGCAGAAGAGATTAAAGTTTTTACTAGTGGAATGAGAAAGGTTGACTAGTTGGTTCAGGTGTAATACCTCCCACTTCCCTTTAAGGAGGGAATTTTGAGAACTTAAAAATCTTGAGTGAAAAAAAAGGGGCGGTGGTTTCAAATACAAGCATGACAACTGATGCAATTGCTATTTGGGAGAAATGATAACAACTGTATATATTCTGACTTCATTTTGTGTAACTCAAAGAAATTTCCCTCGAAGTCTCCCCAGCTAACATTCTCCTGCATTAACAGTGTCAACGTTACGACCCAGCATGGAGCTCCCAAGCCCCAGTGGCCTCTCTTCTCTTCCTTCTCCCAGTCCCACTCACCCAGCCTCGATCACACCCTCCTCCCTGTGTGCATTTTCCTAACACTCTTTCTCCTGGACAATTTTCCATGGACCGGAGCACTCAATTCACCACAGACTCCAGATTCCCACCAGTCATGGCTTTGAGAAGTTAACACGTGCAGCCAGCTGTGGGGTAAATTTCCAAGGCCTCCTTTAGGGTTGCCTACAGCTACAGAAGGTTTTCTGCTTCCAAATTTTCCAAGGCAGTCAAGGTTATGGATGAGAAAGGCTTTTGGATCTTTCTGGGCCTGGATTCTGTGAGATTTGCTCTGGAGAACAATCCTCATTTGCTAAGGAAATGTTGCAGAACAGCATGGCTGAGCTGCCCCAGATCAAACTCCTCCTGGGGAGACTATGGAAGGTTCATTGTCATTCACAGATGCTTTCCAGTGATTTCCACCATTACACAACTCTGAGGGCTCAGGATTGGCCAGTGAAGGTGAAATCTGCAATCAGCAACAAGAGGGGTGCTACTGAGGGGAGATTTCAAGAGGAATTTCGAATTTCAGGCGGTGAGCCCAGCACCTGTCTCCAGACACACCACAGAGCAGTGGACTATGGAAATGGGGAGAAACCATTAAACGGTCAAGCGTGAAATGTGTCCAGCACAGGAGACTGGGTAGAGCAGGTGGGAATAGTGGTTCTCACCTCAGGTCTGGCCCAGGGCCAGCCAGGGACTTCCAGGGTAAGCCTGAGCATAAAAAGCAGAAGCCGGCTAGCCAGACGTGGCATTTACAACCATGTTTCCTTTCCACCTCTGGTCCTCACTGGCAGAAAAATCATGAAGCTGTACGAAAAGCAAAGAACCAACAGGGAGAAGCCGGCTAGCCAGACGTGGCATTTACAACCATGTTTCCTTTCCACCTCTGGTCCTCACCGGCAGAAAAATCATGAAGCTGTACGAAAAGCAAAGAACCAACAGGACAGCTATGTTGGATGCCAACATACTCCAGGGAAGGGTATCAGAAAGCCACAGACATCCAGACTCCAGAATGTGCCCTGGAGAGGGCCAAATACAGTGAGCACGGCCTCCTGAACACACAGGGGCATTTCTGATTGGATTCCACTCCAAACAACTTTGGTCGCCTTTGCCGCACATTATCAATGAACTCTAGGGGTCTACATGATTAACAAATGGTTTCTTCCTCTCCAACTTACAATCATTGATCAATATGTTTGGTCTTTGCTACAAGACTTTTATTTTATTTTATTTGCTAAAAGAATTTTAGAAGAGACTATATATTTATATATGAATAAATAAAAATGGTTTGTGTCTGTGATGAATTTTTCGCCCTAGGATCTCAAAAGGCCCTGAAATCTTAAGCTTTGCTCCCAACCAATGTTTTTCACATTTGGGGTTGAGAACTGTTAGTGGGTCATGAAACCAAATCAGTGGGGTACGATAACAATGGAATTAAAAGATCTCAGAGTGTATCACACACGATAAGGAGATGTATTGTTTTACGGAGACATTATACCAAATCTTCCATTGCAGAAGACCATGCTAGGAGTGGAAAGGAACTCTGAAGATGAGCTGCCAAATGTGAATATCCACCCCCATTCATTCCGGTCAACAATTGTCCTGGGCACACGGGAGCTCCCCTGAACAGATAGTGGGAGCCTTGGACACCGTGTGTGGGGACAGCCTTGGCCCCTGCCCAATAAGGGGGCAGCCGTGGACCCAGCAACACCATCACACAAACTAAATGCCTTCTCCCACGCTGCTCACCCCTCGAGTTCCCACCTTTTTCTCCTTGCCTTCCTACGAAGATCTGCAAACAATGTCTTTACCTCCTACTCTTCCCCTGACTACAGCTGGCTCCTGCTCCCACAATTCCTCTGACATTGTTCTGGCTACCATCACTAATGAGCTCCCTCTTGCCAAATCAAATTGCTGTCAGACAACATTCATATGGCTTTTCAAGGCCTTGATAATAGCTCTAACAATGGAAACAGCAATAAAGACAACCTGTGCTGAGTGCCTTGGCTTTGAGCACGTGGTGCTGTGCACTGTCCTAAGCATTAGATGTGCATTGTCTCCCAGCCATCTTGTAGGTCAGTGCCTAGATTTTTCTGTTTCAAAGAAGGGGAAATGGCTCAGAGGGCCTGAGTGAGGTCCCGCAGCCAGCAAGTACAGCGCTGAGATTTGTGTTCAGGTTTGCCTGACTCCGGAGCCAGGCTCCTAACCTCTGCTCCTCCTCGCTCTCACATCACACCTCTCCACCCTGGGGCCCAGCTCCTCTAGCTTCTCTGTCTTGGTCCCTCCACTGTCTCCTCTTCCTCTCTCAGCACCTCAAATGACCTCCAAATCTATCTCCTAATTCAGACCTCTCTCCTAAGCTCCAGCGTGGGGCTGTCTAGTGGCCTTTCTTATGCGGATGCCCCACGGACACCTGAGAATCAAAAGCACTCACAGTGAGTTACCTTTTCCTGAAAATCTTCTCTTCTTCTCATTGGGCTTCTTTCTCTCTGTTTGTATGTTCATTTATACAGTGAAATATTTGACCATGAGGTGCCAACCACTCTTTTAGGAACCAGGAGAACCCAGAAGAGCACAATGGACCAAGCCCCACACTTACTCTAGTGGGGAAGACAGACCATAAACAAACGCGTACAGAATGTCAGGTGGTGAAATGCGTTGTGAAGTAGACAAAGACGTGGTGAGGGGTCACAGAATGGCAGTGTGATTAGATGGGCTAGCCAGGAACACACATCTCTCTCAGGAGCAGAGACGGAAGGAAGTGGTTAATGGTGCCTCTATCCCCCTAAATTGTCCAAGACAGAAATTCTGTGGGCATCTTCAACTTTGCCCTCTGGATCACCCCACACTTTCATCTTTCCAACAACTCATGTCTCTTTTACCTGTTCCCTCCCTACTCTTCCTGCTTGGCTCAAGGACTCGACACCTCTCAATGTGAGCGTTGTACCTGATTGTGGCCCTTCCCTTCTACACCGGGTCTCACCTCCATGCCACGATAATCTTTCCAAGACCCAAATCTGTTATTGTCTTTCACTTGCTGAAATCCCCTCCCTGGATATCCACTTCCTACAGCAGAAGTCCCTCATCCCAGCAGACAGTTCAAGTCCCTCCCATTCTGGTGCCATCTTCTCGTTCAGTCTCGCCCCCCGTGAACATCCCATGTTCTTCCCCACCTGCCTCCTCCCTGCCTTTGCGCGGGCTGTTTCTTTCACTCAGAACACTTCTCACACCCCATCCTCAATTCTTATGCATCCTTCGAACTCATCCTTTCTATGAGAAACCCACTCCTGTGATAACAGCATTAATCTCTTCATGAGGGCAGAGCCCTCATGGTCTAACCACCTCTTAAAGGTCTCACCTCCTAACACTGCTGCATTGAGGATCAAATTCCTAAAACATAAACTTTGGGGGGTCACATTCAAACCATAGCAACATCCATACACACTTGTGTGCAGCCAGGAAAGGGTGTGTTATACGGGCAGTGTCTATTTAGGACCTCCAAATATCCATGAGCTGTGGTCCAGGAATCCCACTCCTAACACTGTATTCTAACAAAATAATTCAACTATATGCACCATAGGAGTCATGCAGATATTATGTGAAAGAGCAGAAAACTGGAGAACAACCCAAATGTCCAACATTCATTGAAGAGTTAAATAAATTAGGGTATATACATACCTTGGGATATGATGTAACCACCAAACACATCAATCTGAAGATTCAGTAAAAACACAGAGAAAGTTTATGAAATAATGCCAAATTAAAAAGCAGAATATAAAATATGGACACTCTGACTGCATCTATGTAAAAAACATTTATTTGAGGAGGAAAAAAAAAAAAAAAACTACAAGGAAATGTTCCAAAGTGGTGGTAATAAGGCAGTCATATTATAAATTATTTTTTCTTTTTAGGTTTGTTTTATTACTATTACTGTTACTAGTACTAATAATAATAATTGCTAACTTTTATGGGGGCTTTCACTACTAAGTATTTTAAAAGCTCATTCTATCCTCATAACAGCTCTATGTTATTAATATCCTACTTTGCAGATAAGAAAATTGAGGTTTGAAGAGACTGAGTAACTAGCCAAGATCACAGACAGATTAGGTGGCAGATCTGAGGCCAGACCTTGGTCTGGCTCCTATCAAAGTCGCAGCTTTTAATCACTCCATCATACTTCTCTGTTTAGTTTTGCTTTTCAATGAAAAAAAAGTGTTGTTTTAAAAATAAAAATAAAGTAAAATCAAAAGGCATTTCCTTTCTGACTCTTTTAGNCTCTTCTTCTCATTGGGCTTCTTTCTCTCTGTTTGTATGTTCATTTATACAGTGAAATATTTGACCATGAGGTGCCAACCACTCTTTTAGGAACCAGGAGAACCCAGAAGAGCACAATGGACCAAGCCCCACACTTACTCTAGTGGGGAAGACAGACCATAAACAAACGCGTACAGAATGTCAGGTGGTGAAATGCGTTGTGAAGTAGACAAAGACGTGGTGAGGGGTCACAGAATGGCAGTGTGATTAGATGGGCTAGCCAGGAACACACATCTCTCTCAGGAGCAGAGACGGAAGGAAGTGGTTAATGGTGCCTCTATCCCCCTAAATTGTCCAAGACAGAAATTCTGTGGGCATCTTCAACTTTGCCCTCTGGATCACCCCACACTTTCATCTTTCCAACAACTCATGTCTCTTTTACCTGTTCCCTCCCTACTCTTCCTGCTTGGCTCAAGGACTCGACACCTCTCAATGTGAGCGTTGTACCTGATTGTGGCCCTTCCCTTCTACACCGGGTCTCACCTCCATGCCACGATAATCTTTCCAAGACCCAAATCTGTTATTGTCTTTCACTTGCTGAAATCCCCTCCCTGGATATCCACTTCCTACAGCAGAAGTCCCTCATCCCAGCAGACAGTTCAAGTCCCTCCCATTCTGGTGCCATCTTCTCGTTCAGTCTCGCCCCCCGTGAACATCCCATGTTCTTCCCCACCTGCCTCCTCCCTGCCTTTGCGCGGGCTGTTTCTTTCACTCAGAACACTTCTCACACCCCATCCTCAATTCTTATGCATCCTTCCAGACCAAACTGGATTAATCCTCTTCTGTGGATCCTTCCCCAACTCCCCACTCAGAATCGGTCACTTTTTTGCATCTTCCAGTTGTTCTCGGGTTGTGACATTTGCAATCGTCTGTTGTGATATTTGCAATACTCTGCTATAAAGATCCGGGTTTCACTCATTCAATATGTTTGTTGAGTGCCCACTGTGCGCCAAGCCCCACTCTTGGTGCTATGGATACAGCAGCAAATAAGGCCAGACAAACTCTCGCGAAGGTTGTGTTCTATTCCAGTATGTCTTCTCTGCTAGGCTGGGCGCATGCCTGCAATGCAGTTAACAAACCCCTGTCTTGAATCCAATATGTAGTATCACCTTGGGAGACCCCAAAGAGAGAGAGAAGAATGAGACAGACTACTTACTGCCTGGGATCACCTGTGCCAAGCACAGAATCTCATCCACAGCAGGGAACAAACAAATATTTCTGGATGAAAAAACTATTAAAATTATTTTTATTCCCACTTTGTAGAAAGAGAATAAAGAAATAGAACATCTAATTTCTACCTTGTGAACAATGAGCTTTTGGTTGCCAGAATTTCAGACACATTCAGCACAATATACTGTCTTTGCTCCAAACCACAAGAGGCTTATTTTCACTCCATTGGCAACACTTCATATTTGCCAATTTGAAATAAAGTATAGATAAAAGAGTAATACTAGCAAATTCTGCTGTTAGGCAGTGGTGTCTGTATAGCTCAACATAGAAAAGTCCATCATCTGGGACCAGTAATGGTCTGTCTCCCCATTAGAATAAGGGCAGGCCTTAGTCTGTGGTGTTCCAGGTACCCCCAGTGCCCAGAATAGTGCTTGGCACCTCACAGGCACTCATTAATATTTCAATGAATAAATGAAAGAACAAGCAGACAGGAAGAGAAATATACCCTGATTAATTTAACTCTTCAATGAATGTTGGACATTTGGGTTGTTTTCCAGTTTTCTGCTCTTTCACATAATGTATGCATGACTCCTATGGTGCATATAGTTGAATTATTTTGTTAGGATACAGTCTTAGGAGAGGGATTCCTGGACCAAGGGGCATGGACATTTGGAGGTCCTAAATAGATGTTGCCAGTATAACACACCCTTTGATATGCACAATGCACAGTGAGAAGAGTAGCATATATTCAGGGACAGGTGGGTAATTGACTTTTGATTCTCTTGATTCTTAGGTGCCCATAGGGCATCCAGGTGAGAAAGGCCAATAGTTAGCAAAATGTTCAGAGGCATCAGATTGTACCTCCAAAGGAAACACTAAATAATTCTTTGAGGAAGTCACTTAATTTGAATAACATTAATAGACATATAATGTTTTGTGATAAAATTTTTGCATTCTGCACAAAATACATAGCTTTTTACACTGAAGGAAAAAAATGTGATCTGCAGAGGAAAAATAAAATTAAAGAACAACAAACAAGCAAAACAAAACAAGAATCTAGAGCAGCAAAAACAGAATTTTAAGCCAGGCAAAACCAATATTGCTTGGCAAAGACTGAAACCAAATGGATAAACACAAAGTTCACTTCTTCAGAAATGGTTTTTAGACTACTATATTGTAGAGGATTCTTAAAGCAAATGTACTTCACAGGGCCTGGTTTTCCAAAGCTTTGCAGTCTCAAATATTGACCTTGTGGAGGACTGGAGATTTTCTTCAGGCTATAAAGTCTCTGGTATAAGATAAAGATTTGTGGCACAGCAAGGTTGCTGGCTCAANTAAGTATTTTAAAAGCTCATTCTATCCTCATAACAGCTCTATGTTATTAATATCCTACTTTACAGATAAGAAAATTGAGGTTTGAAGAGACTGAGTAACTAGCCAAGATCACAGACAGATTAGGTGGCAGATCTGAGGCCAGACCTTGGTCTGGTTCCTATCAAAGTCGCAGCTTTTAATCACTCCATCATACTTCTCTGTTTAGTTTTGCTTTTCAATGAAAAAAAAATGTTGTTTTAAAAATAAAAATAAAGTAAAATCAAAAGGCATTTCCTTTCTGACTCTTTTAGAAATCAGTGGTGGGTTTGGGAGAGAGGAAGGCCAAGGTAGGGACAGCAATGACTTGGGACAGGCAGGGAGGGAGGAAATACGAACACTTCCACGGCACCCACCTCTCCCGCTGCCTTGTTCACGTAATTCTTCTTGGCAGCCTCCTGTAGTTCCATGGCCTGATGAATGTACTTTTTTCCAGCTAGAATTTCATTTTCCAGCGTTGATAACTCTTTCAACGAAATGGGCCAATTCAACCGTTCTAATGCTTGGTTTAAAGCTGCCTTATTTTGCAGGTACTGTATTGGCTTGTTTGCATCTAACCTAAAGAAAAAAAGAAAAAAAAAGAAAGAATGAAAGAGAAGACAAGGAAGAAACAAGCAACAAAAAAGAAAATGACTATAATAGAAAAATATGGTAAGATAGTTTCTCAGTAAACCCACCCCCCGAGAAACACCTGTCAAAGCAGGTGTTAGATGACAGAGTCACAGCCATGCACTCTGGTCCATCAGGACTTTGGTAGCTTGCACAGATTAAAAATAACTATTCGTGAATTATGGCAGGCACTCTTTCCCATTACCCCATTTGATTTTCTGCATATTTGGAGCCCATTCCTTCCTCCCTGGCCTAACATCTGGCAGAACCAAACATGAGCTTCAAAGAGATGTCACACAACTATGCCTGGCAGTGACTCTGGAAGACAAGGCAAAGTAAAGCAAAGCCAAAGAAACCCCAAATATTTGCCTGAGTGCAGCAATCCTTCTACTAGCTATTTAATCTCTTTTCATCCTTGCAAGTCTAAATAGGCCTAAACTTTCTGGCTTCATTGTTTTGGTACCCAAGGAACAGAAGCCAAATTCTCTACAAGCTGCGAGCAGGCAGAGAGACTCCAGGGGTGGGGTGGGGGTGGGGCTAGTGCAGTGCGATGGCCCAGCTCCTGGATTCTATGTCCAGTCCCAGCTGCTTCTGAGTCAGACATTTCTGAAAGGGGACAGCAAGAAGAAAGAAAACAGCAGATAATTATCATTCTCTTATTGCTGAAAGTATCCTTCACTTCCATTAAATGTCAGATGTTAGAAGAGTACAGTCTAAATCCAGCATAATTACAGGACTCAATCCACAAACAAAACATGACTCCAGAAGACAGCCAAAAAATTCTTATTAAAAACATAAATTGGAGTGAAGTCAGCAAGATGGCAGAGAAAGAAGCCCCAGGCCCTTGTTTCCCCACAGAGACACGTAGTAATAGTGTACAGATCAAATTGCCATTGTGAGAATTCCAGAAACCAGTAAAGAGATTGTAGCACCCCAGATGAGTACAAAGCCAAGAAGAGTCTCCTCGACGTAAGTAAGAAAATTCACTACATTTTGCCTGCCTTTGCCCCTCCCCTTCTCCCTACAACAGTGCAGTGTAATTGGGAAAAAACTCCCAAATCCTGGCTAGTCTTTTGCAAGGGATAAAGAGTGGAATGTGTGTCCAACATTCTTGTTTTGTTTTATTTAATTTTTTCCTTTTTGTCTTTTTTCGTGACCGGCAATGGATCACAACCCTCAGTGTTGCACCC